CCCAGGGGAGGGGCCCGTGCACCCTAGCCCCAAACCCTCGCCGCCCGGGGCCCGGGGCCCGGAAAGGGGAGAGCCAAAACAAGTAAGAGGCCGGGGAACCAAAAAAAAAAAAAAAAAAAAAAAAGAATGGAGTGGATCTGTATGTAATGATATGGAAGTATACGTTTGACGTATTGGAAGAAACACTGGATCAATTAGACAAAATAGTCTAGAAAAATGGCTTACTAAATCTTTTTCTATTAAGGAAAAGGTTTCAGAACAATGAGTACAGCGTGATCCCATTTCACTTTTTTTTCTTAAGTCTATGTGTGCAGGAAAAGAGTTGGGAGGGCACACACACAGGCTGTTCCCAGTGGGGGACAGGGGAGAGGAGGTCTTTACATTTATACACACTTCCATGTTGCTTAAACTTTTACAATGAGCAAATACTGCTTTCAGAATATTTATTTTTTAAGGTATCTTGACCTGAAAAAGGAGTCCGAGTTCCAGCCGTGGCTCCCTCACTTAGCTGAAAATCATAGTGAAGGACTTAACCTTTGTTGGCCTTAGTCACCTTCTCTGTTTAAAAGTAAATCAGGGGGCTTCCCTGGTGGCGCAGTGGTTGAGAGTCCGCCTGCCGATGCAGGGGACGTGGGTTCGTGTCCCGGTCCGGGAAGATCCCACGTGCCGCGGAGCGGCTGGGCCCGTGAGCCATGGCCGCTGAGCCTGCACGTCGAGATCAGTAAAATTTTAAACTTTTCCATGTTTTTCGAGCATGGTGGGTGTGGCTACTTTTATAATCAAGAAAATAAATAAGCCTCTGTTTTCCTTCTTTAATAAGGGAGTTGTACTAGTTCTCTACAGATCCTTCCAGTTCTAACATCTAAGAATCTCTGATCTCAGATTTACTTGGATTTTGAAATAAAAAAAACAAACAAACAAAAAAAACCTGGCCCCCGACGTCATGGTTCTCAGTACTAACCCGTGCAGGCATACCTTCGGCCACTGCAGTTTTCATAGGCTCTTTGCTCTTTCTTTCAGTTCTAGAAACCTCTCCTCCTGGGGCTCTGTTTTGCCTGCCTCTTGGAAGGAGGGGCAGACCCTGCAGAACCGAGGCCTGTCCGGGGCCAGCAGGGCTGCTGGGCTTACTCCAGGCCACAGAGTAAGAGAAGCTATTTTTGTTGTGGGAGCTGCATTGTTGGCTTCTCGCCAAGAGCGCGTGCTTGCGGGTGTGGTCAATGTGTCCTGTCTGCTGCTGCTGTCTCTACCACTGCTTCCAGAAAAAACTTGAGAGCACATTTCCCCAGAGCCAGGAGCTTAAACCTGAGACGGGTGTACAGGGATGGGTGCTCTTTTTTGTGTGTTCTTCCCCTTCTGGCCATTAGAAGGGCAGCAGCAGACCAGAGTGTGGCCCAATGAAGTGGGAAAGACTTTTCTCCCGGCGCTTCGCCTGACAGGGCCCCCTCCTCACTGTGGCTGCAGAGAACTCAGTCCTGATCTGGGCTTTCTTGGCCTTAACAGAGCTGAGCGAGCTGCCCTCACCTCCGTCAGCCTGCTGGGGTTTCCTCAGGCTGCAGCTCATCTCGCCTACTGGCCAAATCTCCTGTTTTCAGTCCAGCCTGGGAACAGTGTCCTTCTTGGTGTGGGGCTTGACCTGAGCCTGGCAAGGTACCTGGATCCTTATCCAGCCTGGCCGGCTTCCTCAGGTAAGTCCAGCGTCCCATGTCAGCCTCCGGCAAGAAGGCCGTTGGAGCAGGTGCCCACGTCCATCAGCCCTTAGTTTGGGCAGAGGGACAGCTCCAGGCCGGGCCACCGTGTGACCAACTCCAGGGGCGGGGCAGGGGGATTTACACTGGGCACTGAGTGTTCATTTATATACGTAGCACTGTAGGTAGTGCCCCTGGAGTTGTGTAGCTCGGCGGCCCTGGCTTGAAGCCTGGTACCCCCGGACACCCACATCGTAGACCATGAATTCCTCACCAGCATCGAGCTGTCATCGTGCCAAGCACTTACTGAGTGCCTCGTGGGGACTGGGCTCTAAGTGTCCTCCTGTGCCTCTGGAACATGCAGTATAGGATAAGCAGTTTGAGGTCGACTCTCCGCTGGTCAACACAGATACATCCTTTGACTGGTTTTCTCAGCTACCTTCTTGATTCCAGAACTTCCATGGCCCTCCTCTTTATTATCCATTTCTAATCTGGGGGAACTTCCTTTTTTCCCTTTCAGTTGCAGAGCTACTTTGCTGCATGTGAAGATGAGACCCCTGCCATCCGGAACCACGACAAGGTCCTGCAGCGTCTGTGTGAGCACTTGGACCACGCCCTGCTCTATGGGTAAGGAGGTGGCCTCTGGAGAGGACAGTACAGAGCAGCAGGGCAGGACCCCGAGCCCGTGAGTAGCCCTCAGAGGGAGGTCCCTAGCCTCGTCTGCCTTTTATTTCTTCTTTCCCTTAGCAGAAAACGATTTGTCTCACTCAGGTGGGCTGCAGACTGTCTGGGGTTATCCCAGTAATCCGTCTCTGAGCGGGCATGAATGACTGGGGAAAGGATTAGCGACAGATGAAATGATGGTGTGAAGGCCTGGTGGCTGCCTGGGGGTCCTGCTGGGAATCCCTTGCTTTCAGCCTTGGGCTTCCTCCTGATACGAAGGCTGGTGGACCAACTGACTGCAGCTTCCCAGGGTGGCCCCGTTTAGGTCATAGCAGCTCCTGTCCTGTTTTCTCAGACTGCAAGACCTCTCATCTGGCTACTGGGTGCTCGTGGTGCATTTCACCCGGAGAGAGGCCATCAAGCAGATCGAGGTGCTGCAGCACGTGGCCACCAACCTGGGACGCAGTGAGTAGCACCGGGTGGACTCGGCGAAGGGACCAGTCCCAGTGGGCAGCTTGGGGCTCAGGTGTGACCTCAGGGTCTGCCCGGGAGGCCGAGCGCCTTGTGGTGTCCAGTGGCGGAGGCTGGTTAAAATGCCAGCGCCCTCCACGAGGCCTCTCTTCGTCCGGCACATGACATTTGGCCGGAGCATCGTGGCTGTGAGGAGGGAAAGTGAGATGCTGAAGAGAGCGGGGCTCCTACCAAATCCCAGCCCGAGCACCTAGTCGGGGGGGTCTCGCCTCTCTCCCTGAGCCAGGGTCAGTGTCAGCTACAGGATCAGTGAAAAGTCCTTGCACTTCTCAACCCATCTGGAGTTTGCGATCTGCCCCGTTCATCCAAGTTTCCTGGCCAGTTACAGGCTAGGGTCTGACGGGGAAAATCAAGATCTCAGCGTGCGGCGCTCCGTCAGGAGAGAGGGCTGCTGGGGCGCTGGCTCCCCTCCGCCATTCTTGCTGCCCTTCCCGCCCTTGCTGGGCCAAGGAAAGCCAGCACCCCTTAGTGGCTTACTCCTGCCCTTTGTCTGCAGGCCGGGCCTGGCTGTACCTGGCCCTCAACGAGAACTCCCTGGAGAGCTACCTGCGGCTGTTCCAGGAGAACCTGGGTCTCCTGCACAAGTACTACGTCAAGTGAGTGTCCGGAGCGCTGTCTCACGCCGCTCCAGGGCGCCCGAGCCCCGTCCCAAAGTCTCCCGTCACACGCAGACACCGCGCTGTGGCACCCCGAGGCCTGGCCTGGCGGCGCGTGCTGAGGACACGTCAGCGATGGCCAGAGGGCCAGTGGAGCTTGCCTGTGACGGCCCTGGCCAGGTGTGCTGGTTCCGGCCGGGCTCCTGGGAGCGGTTTGGTGCCTAGTCGGCCCCTGCCCAATCCCCCACCCAGGCCTCAGTCCTGACTGGAGGCTCAGCCTCCGCTGGGGTTGCCGCGGGAACAGGGGATTTAGAGCAGCTGCCAGAGCTGCTGCGGCCCCGCCCCGTATCTGAAGACACAGGCAGGGCGGTAAAGTGTCGTACGGCCCCGAAGCCAGCCAGAGAGCGCTGGAAGCGGGTGGGTGGAGACACAGGCAGGGCAGTAAAGTGCCGTATGGCCCCAAAGCCAGCCGGAGAGCGCTGGAAGGGGGTGGGTGAAGACCGCATCAAGCTTGGGGTGGAGGGACGCCACATGCCGAACCTCAGCGCAGCTGGCTTGCGGGGGAGGCGGGGCCGCGCTGGTAACCAGACCCAGAACTACCCTCGCCCCTTCCCGTGTCTCGCAGGAATGCCCTGGTCTGCAGCCATGACCACCTGACCCTCTTCCTGACCTTGGTGTCTGGGCTGGAGTTCATTCGGTTCGACCTGGACCTGGTGAGACGCCACGGCTCTCGCTGCTCCTGGGGGCAGAGGGGCGGGCGGGTTGGGCGCATGGTCCTGCTCAGGGAGCCTGACGGGTGTGACTGAGTCTGAGCGCCGTCCTTTCCGTTCAGGTGAGGGAACAGCTCAGGGTCTGACCAGTGGAACGGTGTGGGGTTGAGGTGATTCTCTCTTGGCCAGAATTCCTGGTTTGGGGGACTCCTTCCTGTCTCTCTGTCCCACATTGGAGAAAAGCCGCATTGCCTGGAGCATTTTAGCACTGGAGTATTCTCCTTCGTGATCAGGACGTGAGTCGTCGTCGAGAGACGAGGCAGGTTCATCCCTGTGCCTCCCGGGATCCTGCAAGCCTCTCAGCTCCCTGCTTCCCGGCCTCCCTCACGGTCACGGTCACGGTCACGCACTGGAGAGGTGCAGGGCGGCCCAGGAGCTGCAGAGGCTCCTCTGCGGTCTTGTCAAGATGCGCGCAGCCGCCCCGTCCTAATTGGGTCACCAGCCTAGGTCCCAACCCCGGCAGCACAGACCGGAAGAGGAACTTGGCTACTGAAAAGTAGTAGAAACTGGAGCAAATGAGCGACTCTAATATACAAGAGGTCAAGGAGGGTCAGAAGGCCCAGTGGGCACTGTCATCTCTGGGCCCCAAGTCCACAGCCTTACGAACCACAGCCGTTCACAGTCCTCCTTTGAACAGCTTATTTCTGGATTTAGCACCTTAAGGACATAGATTTCCAAAGAAACACCGGCCTGGGAGGGTGTGAAGGCAGATCCTTGGAAGGCCGTGCCTTTGGGCCCACCCAGGCCTCCCGTCACCCAAGCCTGCCTCTCCCCTTCTCTCCCCAGGACGCCCCCTACTTAGACTTGGCCCCCTACATGCCCGACTACTACAAACCCCAGTACCTGCTGGACTTTGAAGACCGCCTCCCCAGCTCGGTCCACGGCTCGGACAGCCTCTCCCTCAACTCCTTCAACTCCGTCACCTCCACCACCCTGGAGTGGGACGACAGTGCCATCGCCCCGTCTAGTGAGGGTGAGTGCCCGGGGCGGGGAGGGTCCGGCCTCTGTGGCGAAACGGATTTGGAGCCGCGTAAGCCTGGCTGAGGGGAGTCTTTCTTGACTGGTTCTGGTCCAGTGGTGGAAATTCGGAGTTAAACGGGGCCAGTCGTTTCCCAGATCTTCATTTCCCCAGAGTCCCTGTGGTGGCTCAAAAACTGATACTGGGGGTAAAAAGCCAAAGTGAGATCTTACGAATGTTAGACCCTTTTCCAGAAACCTGTAGCCATATGCCCAGGGCCGTTCTCTGAGGTCGGGGGGATTAGCAGGGCAGCCTGGAAACTCTTCCTGACATTCCAGGGGTGAGTGCCACCCACTTCGGGGGAGTTCATCCTACCCTCGATTTTAGGTGGAAAGAGTCTATAAGCGACCCCTAGAAGGAGGAGGGAGGACCCAATGGGTCTGAAGTTTGGAGGAAGACTCGCCCCCCTTTCCCATGGGTCCATCGATTTCCGAGTCCCTCCCGTACCTGCCAGCATGTTGGAGGTGTTCACACTCATCACACTCATGCCATCAAAGACTGAAAACGTCCTCACGCCTGTAGGTCATTTGTTATCTTGGTCCAACAACTGGTTGGAACAGCCTGATTTCTTCCAAACCTTCGGCCTCCGTGTTCATCTAATAAAACTGGCTGTTTTCCCCCCCTCGTCGCCTGTGGGGACCAGAGCTCTTCATTTATGGGACCCCACCTGCAGGGAAGGGGCTCCAAGCACAAGTTCAGCCCCAGGGACTCCCTACAATTGCATTAACATTGAGACCTTGACCTTCTTCTTTCTTTATTTCTGCCTGTGCTGTGGCGCTATGTCCCAGGGAGGGACATAGACCCGCTGTTAGCAAGGCCTGTGTCGCTCGTTATAGAAGCAGGAGATGGCAGCTCAGTCTCCTTGGGTTGGGCTCAGGGGCTTTCGCCAGAAGCCGGAGGGACAGGCCTCAAGGGAGCTGCCAGATTGCCCAGGGAAAGAAGTGTCCCCTTGAGCCCACCTCATCTCAGCTGCTGGGGGTGGAGGGAAGGAAAGCAGGGACAGGAAAGGAGGTTAGGTACAGGGGAGCCATGTCCTTCTGGGGTTGGAACCGATTGCCCCCAGGTCTTTCTAGCTGGTCAGAGGCTACTGGGCCAGTACCGGAGCTGAGAAGGAGCTGGGGTCCTCAAAGTTCCCCTGATGTTGTCAGATAAAATGTAGAAAGTTTAATTTTTCCTCTCTTGTTTTCTCCCAATGTCTCCCACCCTGTTGCCCCCACCCTCCCTGCCCTTCCACTGCCTGTGTTTCTAATCTTCAGTTTTGTCCCTCATTTTTATAGATTATGATTTTGGAGATGTGTTTCCAGCAGTGCCGTCTGTACCCAGCACAGACTGGGAAGGTGGGACAGAGTCCGCTGTTACCCTCTTTTCCTGTTTTGCAATGTTTCCATACCAAGCTTGCTGCATGATTCAAAATCAGCTCATTATTTATAATAATGTCAATGATCATAATAAAGCCAAGTTTGGTGTTCTGGTAGATGGAATTCTGCAGTAGGAGAACTTGACCTTGAGTCCTAGGCCAACCCCTTCTCCCAGTGCAGGACTCCTGCCTTTATGCAGTGGCCTTGTGGAGTCACTAAGTGTCTGCGTTTCGGGGACACAGTGATCACCCTTCCTGACTCCAGTGCCAGTCGATGCACCAGATGTGCGCAGGGAAACACTGCCTTTGAACATGTGGGTGGTAGGCTCCTATTTAGGTCAGATGCGCTTCTGTATCAGAAGCATCAGGAAGCAAAGGCAGAGGGGCTCGATTCTGTTCTTAATGGCTTCCCCTCGGGTGTTTTTGAAAGAGATTGAGGTCCAAATGAGGGAAATTGCCCTGGCATGACTGAAACTCCCTCTAGGGAGATTCTCTTTGAAGTTTTAAGGCCGACTAAAATAAAATCTGTCAACCCTCCCACGCTGTCCACTAGGTGACAGCAATGCTTGGGCATTTTTCTGCTGGTGACGCCACTTCTGGGCTCGAGAACAGTCATGAGGATTCCTGGGATCATTCCAAGCAGAGGGCATGTTTCTGAGAAGGTTAATCCTTCCTCCTTAAAGCTGAGACCATAACCAGACCCGCCTTACTAAACAGCCTCTTGCCCTGTGGGCCACTTCCACCCAGGATGGGGGCAGCGGGGCAGCCTCTGGAGGAGGAGGTGCCGACTGGTCACCCAGAGCCGCGGGACGGCGGTTCTCCCTGCTGCTCGGAGCTGAGCCCCGTGTTGTTAGAGCTGTCATCTGATAGATGATCTTTTCCCAAGTAACGCAAGTGTGCAGTAGCTTAAGTTAGAGGGAAGATATCGCATTGGGAAAAATAAATTATGTCATCTGGCCAACAGAGTACCATGGAAGAGTCCCCCGTTTTAAGTTAAGATTAGCTTGAAATCCAGAATTCCATCATAACATCATTTATCCTTTCAGCCTCTCTTCTCACAGCGCACATGCTGGGCATTGATTCCGCCCCCCTCCCCCCTAACAACTAACCCCCTCCTGACCCAGCTACCTGCTGCCTGTTGCAGTCGCTTGACAAGCAGGGCCTGAGCCTCGTCTGCAGCCCTCCAGAGCTCCCTGTGGCCTGAGAACTAACAGCCCAGTCACACTGCTTGCTCGGGCCGGGCCGGGCTCCAGGGCCGGCTGAGATTGTCCCAGCAGCCATCTCCTGCTTTCCTGAGTCCCTAGAGCACTGAAGACTCCCTGAGCCGGTTCTGGAAGCTTCCTTGGGGAGGCTTTGTCTTCTCCTCAGACCTGGAGGAGAGCAGGATTTGGAGGGCAGCTCTGGGCCCTGGGGTGGGGACTGGGGAGGCCTTTCCATGGTCCTTGGCTCATTTACATAACTGGGGGGTAGGGACTTCCCTGGCGGTCCAGTTGGTTAAGACTCTGCGCTCCCACTGCAGGGGGCACGGCACGGGTTTGATCCCTGGTCGGGGAACTAAGATCCCGCGTGCTGCTGCACAGCACAGCCAGAGAAAAACCAGAACTGGTGGGTATCCCAGCCTTGACCCCCACCACGTCCGATGATCTGCTTGCCCACCTCTTGGGACCCCCTCCCCAAGGGGGATGTAACTGCACATCTCGGGCTGGACCAGGAACGCGTGGGCTTGGCAGGAGGCTTCTTTCACGCTGAAGGGCAGGCTCTTCTGCGTCTGAGAACCAGGGTTCTGGCTGGGGTCCCTGGACATCTGAAGACAATCTCATATTTCACTAGTGTCTTTCTGGCAGAGCTGGGAGTTGCTTTTTGCCCCCTCATTTGTCCTTATATTAAAAGACAGTGTACTTTTGATGATGTGCTGCGTCAGCAGACAGCTGCCCAGTGGTTTCCGAGATCCACTAAGCAGGTTGGCCCTTCCAGATGAGGCTGAGGGTGGGAAGCATGTTTGCCACGTCTCCTCTGGCAGATAAAGGCCAGCAAGATGTGTGCGAGCTGCAGCTGGAGCGTGAACATCCTGTGTGCTTTGCCGTTAACTGTCACCCAGGCTGTTCTGCCAGCATGGGCGGCCTCCCATCTGCCACTGGATAAACACCCTATGTGCTTTCATGCTGACACCCCCTCCCCTCTGTGTCCCGTTCCAGTGACCTGGGATGGACGGTTGGAGGTGAGGGCAGCCGTTAAACCAGCTCCTCTCTAGAGGGGCTGCGTCATCTCCCAGGGGGGAGCCCTGGGAGAGTGTGTGCCCAGAGAGGACCAGTAGGCAGGCTGAGGTTTGGATGAAATGGAGTTCTCAGCACCCCCCTTAAAGGGGTGCCCGGTGGGATATCGAAGGAGAAGGGCCCACAAGGCATCTGTGGCGGCGAGGGGCAGCCGCTCTGCGCACCTTTCTTTCTCTGCCCTGGGTCCTCCTTCCTGCCCCTCCCCCTCGCTCTTCACCCTTGGACCCTATCCTGGCCTTGCAGCCTCTGTACCCCTCATTTTCTCTGATCCTGGCTCTCTTCTCTCTTCCTTTGTTCCTTTGTATCTGCCACTGTGGGGGACCCTTCAGAGGGCTTTGGGTATCTCAGTCTGGTCGGGGGTGTCTGGCGCTAAAGGAGGCTCTAAGGTTAAGCTGAGAGGTGTGCAGCCCATCTTTTGAGGCATCAGGGTCACCATCCCCAAGGGGCTTAAGCCTGGAGGCTGCTTAACCTTGGAGCTCTTAACTCAAACTTGGCCACATTGTTGTGAGCTCTCGGGGGGGGGGGGGGCCCAGTGGTGGTGGTGATGGCATTCCTCCAAGTTGCTCTTAAAGCACAAATCCCGTGTCCTGTTGGCCTGGGGCTTCTACTCCTGAAACAAGGCCACCCCGATCAGATTTCCCTGAAAAGAACTCACCTGCCTCCCTCTTGAGATAAGGCATGCTTTGGGGGCCTGTGGTCCCCAGCTGGTGTCTGACGGGCTGTCTCGTGTTTCCTGTTCTCCCAGATGGAGACCTCACAGACACTGTCAGTGGCCCCCGCTCTACTGCCTCGGACCCGGCCAGCAGCAAGGCTTCCACCAAGAGTCCCACCCAGCGCCACAACCCCTTCAATGAGGACCAGGCAGAGACCGTGTCCTCCTCCGACACCACCCCTGTGCACACCGCCTCTCAGGAGAAGGGGGAGCCCCATACCCCGGACTTGCCAGACACCTGCACAGAGCTCGAGGTCATCAGGTCAGTGGGGAGGGGCCTCGAGAAGCTGGGTGAGTGTCCTGGTGTCCATCCTGTCCACTCCTAGCATCACTTTTTAGTGCACGCAGAGTAGGACCTTCTCCCCCCCGGGGGGCATTTGGACATCTTCCCGGAGACTAGGTACCTCACCCTTGCTCAGTAGTTCTTTGATCAAGAGGAAACAGAGGGCCCGAGCCTGGAAGATGGGTGACACAGGCATCAACATGGCCGGCCTCTGGGGCCGTGCCCAGACTGCTGGGGCATTTGTCTGGTCCATCCAGAAAGCACCTTCAGCCTGGACTTCGTTCCAAGGGAGTTCTTGGACATTAGAGCACAATTTCTGAGATTCGTACTAATTCTAGTTCAGCATGGCTCGCTGCAAGAAGAGCATCTTCATCGTACTGCTGGGGACGTAACAGGGAAGGAGGAGGTGGGTGGCAGGTTGGGAAACTCTTGGCCCAGAGCCTCCTCGGCTCCCTGACCTCCCTGGCTCCTGCTCTGGAGTCTCTCCCCCCTGAATAAGAAGATGTGCACGTCAGACCTCCCAGAGGCTTGCCGGCCCAGGGTGGGGGAATTGCTCCCCAGTGACTGGGGCCAGGAGTCCAGCTCCCACAGGCTGGTTGGAGTCCAGAGCAGCTTGAGTGGTTCAGACCCAGGGTTGCTTAGCCAGGCCCACTTCAGCCAACTCGGAACCAAGGAGTTTGAGCTCAGAAGGCTTTGATTCTTTTGAATTATCCTAATGACCCCGCACGGCAAGGAGGGTCAGCTCAGGGTCGGCTGCCCACATCCTAGGGGGAGGCTGAGTAGAGGGGGCCACTGCTCTGACCAGCCATGGCCTGTTTTTGTTCCCTAGAGCACAGCTAGCCCAGTGGTACCATCAGCTAGAACTCACAGGACCCGCTCAGGGCTTCCTCTGGCCGCTGCCGTCTGTGCCTCCCTCGTGCTGGCCCTGCCTCTGCCGGCAGTGGGAAGTACTTGGGGCCCGAGCTTCTGTCGGCCCCCGGCCTCCCGCCTAGTGCTGCCTGGGACCGCTGAAGCTCTGGCTGTGCTCTCAGAGGTCCCTCACACAGGATCACCTCTTTTGAAAGACATTGTTTTATAAATGATTTTTTTTTTTTTTTTTTGGCTGCACTGGGTCTTCGTTGCTGCACGCGGGCTTTCTCTAGTTGCGGCGAGCGGGGGCTGCTCTTCGTTGCGGTGCACCGGCTTCTCATTACGGTGGCTTCTCTTGTTGCGGAACACGGGCTCTAGGCCCATGGGCTTCAGTAGTTGCAGCACACGGGCTCAGTAGTTGTGGCTCGTGGGCTTAGTTGCTCCGCAGCATGTGGGATCTTCCCAGACCAGGGCTCGAACCCATGTCGCCTGCACTGGCAGGCGGATTCTTAACCACTGAGCCACCAAGGAAGTCCCAGATCACCTCTTTGGACCCAACCCATCTCGTTGCCCTCAGTACTGGGGTGCTCAGATTCAAACCTCTCCCCATCACTACCATCCAGGGTCACCAAGAAGAAGAAAATTGGCAAGAAGAAGAAGCCCAGATCGGATGAGGAAGCAAGTCCACTCCACCCGGCCTCTACCCAGCACACGTGTGCCAGGCGGGGCAGTGGTGACACCCTCGTCAGCAGCCCAGGCCCCGGGCGGGTCTCCCCAGACAAGACCCTCGCCTCCGCCGGGGAGGAGACAGAGGGACCCGGCAGCACAGTCGAGGGCAGCGAGCGCTCAGAGCCCGGCCAGGTGGGCCTGCTTATCCCCGAGATGAAGGACACCTCCATGGAGTGCTTGGGGCAGCCCCTGAGTAAGGTCATTGATCAGCTCCACGGGCAGCTGGACCCCAGCACCTGGTGCTCCCACGTCGAGCCCCCCAATCAGTCCTTTCGGACTGGCTCTCCCGGGGACGCCCCGGAGAGGCCGCCATTTTGCGACTTTAGTGAGGGGCTTCCAGCCCCAATGGACTTCTACCGCTTTACCGTCGAGAGTCCAAGTACTGTTGCATCAGGTGGCGGCCACCATGACCCTGCAGGGCCTGGCCAACCGCTGCATGTTCCTGGTAGCCCTGCGGCTGCTGGCCAAGAAGAAGAGGGAGGAGGACGAGGGCCGGGACAGGCGCCTCGGCCCCTAGAGGACACCCCGGGGGAGACGCAGGAGCCAGAGGCCCAGGAGCTGGAGACCCGGTTGCCCCTGGTCGGTGAGGGACCTGTGCCTGAGCAGGAGCCTGGGACCCAGGAAACTCTTTGCCAACTCAAGCGAGACCAGCCCAGCCCTTGTCTGAGCAGCGCCGAGGACTCTGGGGTGGACGAGGGGCAGGGGAGCCCTTCGGAGATGAGCCACTCGGCAGAGTTCAGGTGAGCCAGTCTGTCTATGCCGCTTGCCTGAGACGCCCCTGTCGTCGATCAGGGCACTTTGGGCATCTGCCCTCCAGATACACCAAGCACGACTCCCGGAAGACCTAGCCTGGGCTGGGAGGTAGGAGGGGGGTGCGGTCCTCCCCTCCCTCACTTTGGCTCCTGGTGGGGGGCGGAGCCGCTGCCAACATGAGATCTCGGGGTGCCTGCCTCGGCCCCGTGCATGTGTGTCGCCCGTGTGCACCGGTGCGGCCCTGCCCAGCCTGACACCGCGCCCTCCTGCGCTCGCCCCTCCCACAGGGTAGACAACAATCACTTACTCCTGCTCATGATCCACGTGTTCCGAGAAAACGAAGAGCAGCTCTTCAGGGTAAGTCCCGGGATCTCAAGAAGGAGCGAGAGCCCGCGCAGCAAGGGCGAGGCCGGATGGGCCGCCGCTTCCGCTCCGAAGGGGAAGCGGGCTGTCTGGGGCAGGGCGGGGCCCCAGTGCCTGACCCCTGTGCTTCGGCCCCTCAGATGATCCGGATGAGCACGGGGCACATGGAGGGCAACCTGCAGCTGCTGTACGTGCTGCTCACAGACTGCTATGTCTACCTGCTCCGGAAAGGTGCCTGCCGCCCCCAGGCTAGGCCAGGGCAGCTGCCGAGGTCGCGTGGAGGACGCCACCCTCGTTCCCTTCCCCCGCCCCCCGCCCTGAGTGTCATTGATCAGCACAGAGTGCTGAAGAGCACAGAGTGCTGCCTGGCACGTGGTGATGAAACGGGTTGGCAGCAGTCCCAGCTGCCCCAGCACATGAGCCTGGGGCCCCCCTCCATGAGCACCCCATGTCGTTCTCCTACCTCGCCACTTCAGATCGCAGGGCAAGGACGGGTCCTCATGGAGAAAAGGTCTTAGAAAATGGGGCAGGGGGAGGACAGAGAGGCCACTGGGGGTAATAGACATTGGGGTCTCCTCTCTCAGGGGCCACAGAGAAGCCATACCTGGTGGAAGAGGCTGTTTCTTACAATGAACTTGACTATGTGTCGGTGAGTACAGGCCCCGTGGCTGGTGTGTGCTGTAGGGCAGGGCTCCTCGGGCCGCCCCGCCTCAGACCTGCAGAGCAAGGCTGACCCCTGCCTCAGCCCCGGGGGTGGGTGCCAGCTCTCATCTCTGAGCAGCTTCTCTACCTGAGCCGGGGAAAAGAAGCAGGCTTGAGGGTACCTCTTCCTCCGCTGTGCATCTGACCATCCCTCCCCACCTTGTGGTGACCTCAGAGTGCGCTGCCTCCCTCCCCAGCCCGCCCTCAACCTGGCCCCGGCTGCCCCTTCTGGCAGCTGCGGCCAAGCCCCGTGTGCATGTGAGGGTGTGGTTTCTGGCAGGTGGGCCTCGACCAGCAGACAGTGAAGCTGGTGTGCACCAACCGCAGGAAGCAGTTTCTGCTGGACACGGCGGACGTGGCCCTGGCCGAGTGAGTGACACGCCCCCTTCTGCAGGCCTGGCGAATCGGCACCTGCCACTGGCCTGGCCACGCCCTTGGGGCTGGAGGGTGGCAAGTGGGGTGCGAAGGGCAGAGAAGCAGGGAGGTGACGGGCACACTGACCGACGGGTGCCCTCAGACCCTGAGTGGCCCACAGAGAGGAAGAGGGCCGGCAGGAGTGATCCCCACAGCAGAGAAAGCACAAGCCCGGCTGCGGGGCCTTGGGGCCACACGTGCCCCCTGTGCTTCCATACGGAAACTGTCCTGAGATCAGGTCTTTGTACAAGTCCTGCTGCTTCCCTTGAGGTCACAACCCAAGACCCCTCGGCCGCTGGGAAGGGTTAGGCCTTTCCCGGCCGCGGTTTGATGATCATGGATTGCTGCCGCGTCACTGCCCCACCCGCCACCCGGAGCTGTGGTCCCAGCCAGGTCCTCCCCGCAAGATCCTGTGACCCCTCCGGGCCGGAAGTCCCCAGGACTGTGCCGTGTCCCTTTGAGGGGTGGGGGCCTCAGGCCTCTGACAGCAAACCCCACTCCGCGTACAGGTTCTTCTTGGCTTCTTTGAAGTCAGCCATGATCAAGGGCTGTCGGGAACCACCCTACCCCAGCGTCCTGACTGATGCCACCATGGAGAAGCTGGCACTGGCCAAATTTGTGGCCCAGGAATCTAAGTGTGAGGTAAGCACCTGGGGAGGAGGGGGTGTCGTCCCCGAGATGACAGCCCTGGTATTAGGGTCAAGAGGTGCAAATAGGTGCAAATAACTGTCTTTAGCGTTTCTCCATCACCCACCTGGGAGGGGCTCTCCCTCCCGGCCTGTCCCCCTCCCCACTTGGGGTGTGTCCTGACCCCGCCAGCCAGCGGCCACTCCTGCTTCTGGCCCAGACCTCACTGCTCTGTCCCCTGCCCCCTCCCCAGGCGACCACTGTTTCTGTGTGCTTCTACGGGCTCGTGCACTGGCAGGACCCCCAGGATGAGTCCCTGGGCCGCATCTCCTGCCACTGCTCACCCCCTGAGGGTGCCGTCACCAAAGAAGGCATGCTGCATTACAAGGCGGGCACCTCCTACCTGGGCAAGGAACACTGGAAGACGTGCTTCGTGGTGCTCAGGTGGGAGCCCCCGCAGCTCTGGCCCGGAGGTTGGGATGGGGGACAACGTCCTCCCCGTCAAGGGCTTTGGAGCAGATATCCCCTGGGATCCCAGATCTTCTCTGTAGAGCCAGCCACCTGGGGCCCAGGGAAGCCCAGAAGGCCCCAGGTGAAGACCGGGGCTGTCCCCAGGGCTGGGGGCACGCGCTCCCTGCTGTGCCTCTGCAGTTCTTCCTCCGCCCTCCCTGCCGTAGAAGGCAGGCCCCGGGCTCCTTGGCCTCTGGGGTTCAGGCCCCAGCTTGTGGGGGTCCCTGGGATCTGTTCCACCTGGCCCCCAGTTCCTGGGACAGGCCTCACCCCTGCCACGTTGTGCCCCCTGCAGCAACGGGATCCTCTACCAGTACCCCGACCGCACTGATGTCACCCCCCTGCTCTCAGTGAACATGGGGTGAGTGTCCTGGGCAATGGGAGGGGCCGGGCAGGTGTCGGGGCCTGTGTCGCTGCCTGAAGGTCAAGGCTCCGGCTGGGCCTGAGCCTCAGGGCTCCCGTCCTCCCTGGCTTGAACTGGCTCTCCCTCCTGTCAGTTGAGCACCCCCCCTCGGCCCCACCCCCATTTAGTGCCCTGGGGTCTGCTGAGCTCTGGGTGAACAGGGAGAGGGTGGGGAAGCAAGAGGAGCTTCCTGCCTGGAAAGGATCCCAACAGGTAGGGGAGGCGTCCCCCGATCTGATAGGGGAGGCGGTCCTTTCCCTGGGAAGCGCTTGACCTGATGGGGAGGATGGACACACACACACACACACACACACACACACGCACACACACACGCACACACGCACGCATGCGTGCGCTTGGAGGAAACATCCAGCCCGTAAGGGGAACAGCAATGAATGTGCACTGATTCCGAGAGGGCGGGAGCCAGGAGCTGATTCTCAGCCCTCACCTGGCCCTGCTCAGGTATCTAGACGAACCTTGGTGATTGTGGATAAAAGGTGTTACACAGAGAAGGGGCAGGGCGGCCCAGCAGCTTTGCGCCTCTCCTTCGAGCCGGAGGGCTCTGGCCCACCTTCTGGTGTCCTCCAGCCCTCGGGACTCCGGGGCAGGCCAACCCCAGGGGCTCCGCCCGCGCCCCTCGCCCCCCTGCCCCCTTGCTCCCTTGCTCCCGTTTCACCCTCCACCTCTGGCCCAGGGGGGAGCAGTGCGGTGGCTGTCGGAGATCCAGCACCACGGACCGGCCCCACGCCTTCCAGGTCATCCTCGCCGACCGGCCCTGCCTGGAGCTGAGCGCCAGCAGCGAGGCTGAGATGGCTGACTGGATGCAGCACCTCTGCCAGGCCGTGTCCAAAGGGGTGAGGGCCTCCTGCCCCACCGCTCACCACCTCCTAACCCCACCCCGGGTCCCCAGGGTCCCTTCCCCAAGCCCATGCGAGTCATGCAGCGGCCTCTGAGGACCAAGATGGGACTTCCAGGGGCCAGCCCAGGAGTGAACCCTGGAGGTTAGGGCCGCCTGTGGCCTGACATTCCCACCATCACCCCTGTCGGCCCCTGTACTCCTGGCCTCTGGAGGGAGGGGCAGAGGGGCTGGCAGGCCCCTGACGCGGGGAGTCCTGGTGCAGACCAGCCCTGGAGAGCTCCAGCTTGCCTCTCCCCTCCGCTCTGCTGGTGCCTTCAGGTCATCCCCCAGGGGGTAACTCCCAGCCCCTGCATCCCCTGCTGCCTGGTGATCACGGATGACCGCCTCTTCACGTGCCACGAGGACTGCCAGACCAGCTTCTTCCGCTCCCTGGGCACCGCCCAGCTGGCCGACATCAGCACCGTCTCCACTGAACCGGGCAAGGAGTACTGTGTCTTGGTGAGTCGGGTGGGGGGCGATGGAGGCAGGCCCTAACGAAGGAGCGCTGTGTCTGCTCACCTGGGGCCCCCGCTCTCCCCAGGAGTTTTCCCAGGACAGCCAGCAGCCCCTCCCACCCTGGGTCATTTACCTGAGCTGCACATCTGAACTGGACCGATTCCTGTCTGCACTGAACTCCGGGTGGAAAACCATCTACCAGGTACCCGGCTGCCCAGGCCCCTGCGGAGTGGAGCCATTCCCTAGGGAAAGGAGCCCCTGCACGGCACAGACCGAGGCAGGAGTTGGGGGCCTGGGGCAGCACCATACTAGGAGCTCTGGGGTGGACATGAACGTGTAAAACCAAAGGGGCAAGACCCTGCCTCCCAGTGAGTGTGAGGCTAAAGCTAAGCATAGAGCCCAGGAAACGCCATTCCTGACCTTCTCAGTTACCCTGAAAAAGCCGGCATTAAGTGCCTACGGTGGGGCTAGAGCTGTGCCCGGATGATGGGGGCATGGAGCGCAGCACCAGGCTGAGAGGGCCTCATCGAATGCCTGCACAGAACGCAGTCTGAGCGCGTGCTGGGCTGCCCCGCGGAAGCTCCGGACCAGCCCTGGGCGGAGTTCCACGGCCCGCCTCCCGGCCCCACCCCCAGCCCCCTCCTCCGAGAACCGGGGCCTTCCCTGGAAGGAGGCGGCTCAGGGAGCCGCACCCCGTCGGCCTGAGCCCCTCCTTGAGGAGCCCGAGATCTCAGCAGCGTGGATGTAGTTTCAGGGCAAGGTTACACCCGGTGCGGGGGAACCCCACGGCCCCTCGGCTCCCTGGGGGCTCTCGGTGCAGCCCTCAAGTTCCCTGCACGCCCCACCCAGGTGGACCTCCCCCGTAAGGCCATCCAGGAAGCCTCCAACAAGAAGAAGTTCGAGGACGCCCTGAGCCTTATCCACAGCGCCTGGCAGCGGAGCGACAGCCTGTGCCGGGGCAGAGCCTCCCGGGACCCCTGGTGCTGAGGCGGAGCTGGCGGGCGTCCTGGAGGGGCCGGAGAGGGAGGCGGGCGAGCGGCTGCTGGGGCCAGGCTCCCGCCCTCGTTCCCGGGCAGCAGAACCACCGAGTGGGGCTTGAGACAAGGTCTCCCTCCCAGGGACCCAGAACGGGTGCCCAGCACCCTGGGCCTCCTGCCCGGCAGGTGGCAACTGGGAAGTGCTGGGGGCAGAGGGTCCGAGCCCTATGGGCTCTGCAGATGCACGGCCCCCTTCCCCGGGGCCACCGCCTCACTCCACGAGGGGAGCAGGACTCAGAGGGCAGGAGCCCCTCTTCCTCCCCTGGGTCAGGGGCCCGGGCAGAGGCTTAGGCCGCCCTGGGGGCTCTGAGTGCCCGGCCATCCCTGTTCATGTTTGAACATTCACCCGGCTGGGAGGGAAGCTGGAACACCGCGGTCTCAGTGCATGTCTTCTCCTCACTAGCTCCATCCCCAAGCACACTGCTCCCTGCCTTCCAGGGCCCGGGGGGTTGCAGGGGGCCGGGATGGCCCTCCCTGGCTACCAGGAGGCCCTGCATGTCCACGGCCCCCTACCTCCCCTCCTCCAAACCTGGCAGTGCCTGTAGGACCCAGGGATCAGGCCATCTCCTTTTTGCCAGGAGCAAAGGGGAGGGAGGAGGGCTTGGAGAGGAGCAAAGCCCACCAGCCTGTGTCCCCTGCCTGGCTGGAGCCAGGTCCTTCCCAAGAGGGCCCTCTGGGGGAAGGGGTCAGGTGGCCTGGGTTTTGTTTTTTAAAATAAAATAGACATGTTATATTGCCAAGACTCGTCACTGGCCCTTTTTGACCAGGGTGGAGGTGAGGGATCTCCGGCACCTCCTCTCAGGCCACTCGGCCCTTTGTTCCTCGTTCATTCCACAAATGCTCTTCCGTCAGATGCTCTGTGCCCACACTGGGATCCAGATCACTGGCCGCTGCCCCCCAGCACTCACTGAGTGGAGGAGTTCGGGCCCTGGGAGCTTCTTGGCCGGACCTTTGCCCTCCTTCCTGTTTCCTGCAGTGGCCAGGGGAGGGCAGCCACCAGCTCGGGTCCCAGGCCGTGGCTACACTGCCAGGGCAGGGCACTCCTGCCTGCCCTGCCTCCCCCAGCTCTGGGGGCTGAGTGCCGGCCACTCGGGATCAACCCGGGAGAATCCAGGCTGTCCCCAAGACCTCTTGTTGAGCTGCTACCCCGGGGCTGGCCGGAGGGTGCCCAGCCTGCCAGGCCTAGGAGGAGCTCTGCAGCCCTCAAGCCCCTCAGCACTGCGGCCTCCAGGGCCTCACAGCTGGGAGGAAAGGGGTGGCCACCTGGATGAAGCAGGTGTGGAGGCCACAGAGGTGGGGTTCTGGGCAGGGCGGCCCTGCCTCTGGTTCTGATTGGGACTCGGGTGACGCAGGGTGGCCCTGGCAGGAGAGAGGTACCATGGGGCCGAGGCCGAGGTGGGCAAGGTGGTGCCGGCCCCCGACCTGAGCAGCCTGGCACCTGACAGTAATGCCCGGGGCTGGGAGGTCCCTCTTCACCAGGCACAAAGGTCCATTCCCATGCCTGGGCCTCTGCTCCAGAGAACCACAGCCCAGGAGCAGCTCCCACCAAGAGGAGGGGCAGGACTAGGGGGCAAGTCCTGACCAGGTGAGCGACCAAAGCTGCAAGGTCACTCCTTGAGACACAGTGGCCCTTATTTTTCCATCTCCTACCCACCCAGGGGGGGATGTGGGCCGCCTATTACCGAGTGAAGCACTGTGCTAGGCGTTCTTCACACATCTGTGATCCTCCGAAGAACCTCTGCAGTGGGTACCCACATCCCCATCTTACAGATGGAGAGACCGAAGCTCAAAGAAAGGAACTGACTTGCCCAGGGCACACCTAATAGCCGCTCCTGGGATTCCAGATCAGTTCCACACGACTCCGGAGCCCTCTGCTCTCACTGGCGGTGGGACCACAGACCGTGGGAGCCAGACTGGAAGACTGAGGCCGGGAAAGGGGACGGCACACAGTGGCAGGGGGGCGGGGCGGGGGGGGGGCGTTGCTGAGCTGCTGAGAGGAGCCTCCCAAGCAGCTGCCTCTTGCCCAGGGCCCTGAGCTACAGCAGGACTGGACAAGCCCGAGGGAGGGCAGCTGCGCCAGCGCTTTGCCCAGGGCCAGAGGGAAGGCTGGGCACCAGCGCTTTGCCCGGGGCCAGAGGGGAGGCTGGAGGACCCGAGGGTCGGGAGGAGGTGTCTTGGCTCATTGGCACTTTCTGCCTCACCCCCCCCACCCCCACCCCACCCGTGTCTCCCTTGGGGCCCAGGTGACCTTTCCCCCAGATCCCAGGGTCCAGGCCCTCCCCGGCAGGGAGGTGTGGGGGACGTAGGAAGCTGGGATTGGTCCAGAGCCGGCGGGGGCGTGTCCCAGGCTCCCAGGAAGGAGCAGAGTAGGTGGACTCCTGAGATAGAGCAGGCCGCCTGGCAGCAGCCGGCCTCTCTGACCCGGACCTCTGCCCTCCAGACATGGCCCCAGGCTCCCTCGATCCCCAGCCCTGTGGCCCTGTGGGAGTGAAGACAGCCTAAGCACCGCCACCCCAGTGCCCGTGCCCATGCCTCTGACACGGGCACAGCCGGCCCCTGGCCCGGAGGCCAAGGAGACGGTGGCTCCAGCTGTGGACCTGGTGCTGGGCGCCTCGGCCTGTTGCCTGGCCTGTGTCTTCACCAACCCCCTGGAGGTGGTGAAGACGCGGCTGCAGCTGCAGGGGGAGCTGCAGGCCCGGGGCACCTATCCTCGGCACTACCGGGGCTTTGTGGCCTCCGTCGTCGCTGTGGCCCGTGCAGATGGGCTGTGCGGCCTGCAGAAGGGGCTGGCTGCCGGCCTCCTCTACCAGGGCCTCATGAACGGCGTCCGCTTCTACTGCTACAGCCTGGCATGCCAGGCCGGGCTCGCCCAGCAGCCGGGTGGCACCGTGGTCGCGGGCGCTGTGGCAGGGGCACTGGGAGCCTTCGTGGGGAGCCCTGCTTACCTGGTGAGTGCCTTGTCTCCATCTGCTCCCACCCTGGGACCCAGCTCCCATGGGGGCTCTGCAGCCTCCTGGGCTGGCCTCCGTGGAGCAGATGGGGTGGGGCTGCTCCCCGGGACATCCCTGCCCAGGCCTGGAATCTGCCCCTTGGTCCAGGGCACCAGGGCCTCGCCCTGAACCTTGCTCCCCTGGGGCCCCCGCCCCACTGGTCCTGAGCCGGGGGAGGGGGCAGAGGGTGGCAGGAGGTGTGCTAGCTCAGGGCCACGTGGTCACTTGTCTTCCTGCATGCCCTGTGCAAGGTAAGCATAAAGCTTCCATCGAGAGAGGGCCCCACATCCTAGCCTGGATGCTACAGTCATCATCTCTCTTGGTCCCCAGAGCAGCCTTCCAAGGGTGAGCAGACAGGCGGAGAGAAGGTTAAGTCACTTGTCCCAGGTCACAACCAGATGCAGACCCAAGCCGACTCCAACCCTATTCCACACACACACACCCCCAAGGCTGCGGGTGTGGGCTCAGGGAGGTCTGGGTGTCAGGGCCCGGGGAGGGGTGCCCTCAACACGCACAGCTCGTCCAGGGTCTTCTAAGGTTCCAGCCCCAGGCCCTGTGTCACCCCTGCTCTCACAGGTCAAAACGCAGCTGCAGGCTCAGACGGTGGCCGCGATGGCTGTGGGACACCAGCACCCTCACCAGGTGGGGACCGTCACTCCCTGGGGCTTCCCCGGCTGGGTGGGCTGGATGGGCCCCTGGGCGGGCAGGGGCCGCCCAGTGACCCTGTGCCCTCTCCCTGCAGAACGTCCTGGATGCCTTGGGGACCATCTGGCGGCAGCGGGGCCTGGCGGGGCTGTGGCAGGGTGTGGGTGGGGCCGTGCCCCGGGTCATGGTGGGCTCGGCTGCTCAGCTGGCCACCTTCGCCTCCGCCAAGGCCTGGGTGCAGGAGCAACAGGTAAGGAGCGGGGGACACCCGCGCCCCGTATCGCGCCTCCACATCTCCAGCTGGACCCCACGCAGGGAAGCCCAGGGGGTGGTGACAGGCCCCTTAAGAAAGCCGAGGGCCCTGACTCTGCCCTCAGGGCCGTGGTTCTGGCCCTCGGGTCCAGCAAGAGTGGAGAGTCCGCAGTGAACCCTTCAGCTGTAAAGGAGCTCAGGGCGGCGGGGGGCGGGGGGGGGGGGCCGGAGGGGCCTCATCTGCCCCCCTTTCCCTAGCTCTTCCAGCCCCCGGGTGCTGAGAGGTTGGGGTGGGCGCCACGTGGGGGAGGGGGGAGGGCACTACAGGGCTCAGCAACCTGTATGTCCCCACAGTGGCTCCCAGAGGACAGCTGGCTGGTGGCCCTGGCCGGCGGCATGATCAGCAGCGTAGCTGTGGTCACGGTCATGACCCCCTTCGACGTGGTCAGCACACGGCTGTACAATCAGCCTGTGGACGGAGCGGGCAGGGTGAGCAGGGGACAGAGTGGGGGAGGGCGTGGGAGCTGGACAGCATCCCCCAACACACACACACACACACACAGCCAGAGACACGGAGAAGTGTGCCACACACACACACACACTAATTCGGCTTGTTTGCTGAACACCTATGTCCCAGGCACGTACTAAGCATTTTCACACCTGGATCCTATTCTGTCCTCACAACAACTTTCGTTCTCCTGATGAGAAGACTGAGGCTCAGAGAGATCAAGTGACTTGCCTGAGGTCACGCAGCCGGTAGGTGGGGGAGCCTGAACTGGAATCGAGGCCTGACCCCCCAGCCTCACAGGTGCACAGGGGCCGTCACGTACACTGGTGCAAGGTGTGCCGAACACAGAGGTGCCCTCCACGGGCTGAGTTAGCGGTGAAATCCACCCGCGTGCCACTAACCAAGCTGAGCGCCTGGCCTGGGGCTGTGGCTGCCTGGAGGAAGAGGCCCTTTTTTAACTTTCACAGCCCGAAGGGTTACTGTTATGTGATTTGCCGAGCTTGGGGGAGTGCCCTTTCTGATGTGCCACAGAAGCCCATACACAGACACACCCCATTGTGCCAGCCAGGGCCCCACGACACCTGTAGTGATGTCTGCCCTGTGTCTGTCCCCAGGGCCGGCTGTATGGTGGCCTCGCCGACTGCCTGGTGAAGATCTGGCGGCAGGAGGGCCCCCTGGCGCTCTACAAGGGTCTGGGCCCCACCTACCTGCGCCTGGGTCCCCACACCATCCTCAGCATGCTCTTCTGGGATGAGCTCCGGAAACTGGCCGGGCGGGCCCAGCACCAGGGCAGCTAGGCGGCGTCCTTCACCCTGACACAGCCGTGCCCTTGGCAGGAAGCGACGGCCTGCTCCACCTGGGAATGGCCGTCCAGGAGCCTGCCCAGGCCCAGGCCCTGCCGCAGGTTCGGGGAGAGTGTAGACAGCTGTGGTCAACCCAGCCCCATGGCCCACCCAGGGCCAACGGATCCGCCTTGAATCACCACCCACTCTGTTCTCCAGAAAGTTTCTCTTCCCTCTCTGTCCTGGGTAACCTTATCCCATTGTTATAATAACTGCTTCAGGGTGTGAACATTACCATGAGCTGGGCCACTTACGTGCGCCAGATCGCTTAGTCCTCACACAGTAGGAGACGGTGAAATGCCCTGTTACTGGTTCGGAAGCGGGGGCTCAGAAAGGTGAAGTGCTTTGACCACAGCCACACAGCTTTGAAGGGGCAGAGAACCCAGCTCTGCCCAGCCCAGACCTGTGCCCTTGGCAAGAGCCAGGACCGTGGGTGCTGGGGTGCCCCTGAGGGATCACTGTACATGTGGGGAGGCCCTGGGGAGCACCGTGAGGCCGTAATGTCATCGTCTGTGCTAGACTGCCAGGGCCGCCGTCATAGAGGACCTCAGACCAAGCGGCTTAAACAACAGAACGTTACTTTCTCATCATTCTGGAGGCCAGATGTCTGATCAAGGTGTCGGCAGGGTTGGTTTCCTCTGAGGCCTCTCTTCTTGGCTTGCAGATGGCCGTCTTCTCCGTGTCCCCACGTGGTCTTCCCTCTGTGTGTCTGTGTCCTAGTCGCTTCCTATAAGGACACCAGTCATATTAGATTAGGATCCACCCTTAATGACCTCATGTTAACTTACTCATCAATACTTCCTTTGAGAATTGCTTTCTTTAGGACTCCAAAGAGTCACATTCTGAGGTTAGAACTTCAATAGATGAATCTGGGGAGGGGGAGGGGACGCAATTCAGCGCATCAACTGAGGGCTTTTACCGAGGGTCCCCTAGGTGCCCAGCACTGTGGACATTGGCACAGATTCTCACGACAGTCCTGGAAGGTAGCGCTTGATGGTGCCTGTTGTTCAGGTGAGCAGACTCAGGTCCCGGGAAAGGAAGTGACCTGCCCAAGGTAGTAGAGCTGGGCGGCCTCATCCCAGGCTCTCTCCCCACGCTGCAGCCACCCTCCCACCATGGGCGTGTTCCTAAGGCCTGCACCGACCTTTGTGCTACAGAAGTGGATGCTGAGTCCCTGAAGGGGCAGGACTGGCGGAGAGGTCAAGCAGCCTGAACTACCTTCCCTGCCACACCCCATGTCTGCAAAGCGCTGCTCCCCAGGGGCAGCCCTGCTGCACACTCCAAACCAATAAAGTTTTCTATTTTGTCTACTTCAACGACTCCCCTCTGCTGGCAGCCTCAGTCTCCCGACCCCCGAACCCACACCCTTGGCTCGCTCTCCTCGGTCTGAGAAAGGAGGATCCAAAAGAACTGGGGAGAGCCAGCCCCGCCCCGTAGGCCAAGTGAGGCCTGCCACCTAGTGGACACGGGGAGGATCGTCAAGGCGGGCTGCCCTACGGCGCAGGAGGGGAGGGCCCAGAGCTGAATCCCAGCCCCGGGCTGTGGCGGGAGAGACGCCCCCTTCCAGACCTTGGGCTGAGAGAGCAGAGCCTGACCTCAGGCTGTGGGGAGATCGAAGCCCCCCTTCCAGACCTTGGGCTGAGGGCGGGACCCAGACTGGAGGCTGGAGGAGGGCAGAAGAGGCGAGGCCTGGGGCTTCAGGAAGGGATGGGTGGCAAGGCCCAGGGGTGGGTTGGTCTCTGTCCTGAGAAAAGCAGGACAAAGACCAGCCCACCCAGAGATGCCCCCCACCCCATGCTGCCCAAATGGGGAGACCCTGGGCAGCGGTCTTAACCCAGCAGCCCAAAGGTTTAAGGCCCTGGCTCTCCTCCCCTCCCCTTCCCTCCCTTCCCCTCGCCTGGGCTTTTGACCCCTCCCAGCCCCTCCCCTCGCCTCCACCACCTTTGCCCGGTGGTGGTGACGTTGCGGTGTCTCTGGCGCAGACCAGGCCGGAGGCTGGGGCTGGATCCTGGCGGCCATGTTCTCCCTGCTGTCCCTCCCCTCCTGGCTCCCCAGCCTCCCCTCCCTTGAGTGGGGCTCCGGCCTCCTCGACGCCCTCCTGCAAGGTGAGCCCCTCCCCCATCCCCCTCAGCCCCACCCCCTCCGGGGCACCAGCCCGGCGCAAGACGAACCCCACCCACGTGCGTCTCCCACCGCCCCCTCCTCTAACCCTACCAAGCTGCCTACCCTCCCTACTAACCCTGTCAGGCCTCGTCGGGGCCTGCGGAGTCTCCATCCTGAACAACCTCCTGAAGGTCTACTTCTTCGTGGGCTGTACCAAGTGAGTGCCCGCCTCCCCGGCCCCCTCCCAGGCCCCTGGAGCCCACACTGCATGCGACTCTGGCCTCCTCCGAGGGCAGGACTGGGAGGGAGAGACCACCCGTCCTTAACCCCCAGGGTGTGGCTGGGGGCACCGGTACCCCCTCCAGGGACGAGGCTGGTGGTTCTGCCCCTCTGCCCGTGCCCCCTCTACCTCCACAGTGACCCGGAGCGGCGGCTTGAAAAGGAACGGCTGCGGGCCCAGTGGGCCTCGCTGGAGACCGTGCACCTGGCAGGGCTGGCCCTGATCCTGACCGTCGTGCAGGTCCGGGTCGCCGCCCTTGTGGTGCTCGAGTTCTCCCTCCGGGCTGTCTCCATGCTGCTTTCCCTGGACAAGGTAAGACCACAGGCAGGTGGTGGGTGAGGACTGCCCGGCCCTGGGCCCTAGTTTTCACCCCCAAATACAGGAAACTGGGCCCGGTTGTCATCGCCAAAGCCAAGTCTCCACTCAGAGTGGACACCACCCCAGTCCAAGAAGATAACACAGCAGCTCCCGGATGTCGAGAGCTTCCCGTGAGCCAGGCACGGTGCTAGATGCTTTGAGTGCATCGTCTCATCCTCAGAACCACAAGGGATAAAAGTCTGCTGTGATTCCGATCTCCCACATGGGAAACTAAGGGTCAGAGATGCTACGTGGCTTATCTGTGGCCAACAACCAGCAAGAAGTAGAGTCGGGCTTTGAACCCAGGCCTCGAAGGCTTTGAGCCACCACCCTTCAGCAAGCAGATAGGTCCCAAGTAATAATCACGATTGAAATTAAGCTGAAAGAAATGATTCCAGTAGGGCTTGACCTGAAGGCAATATTCCCTCTTCGGGAACGGCCTCCCACAGAGTGGACCACCTGTACCTTGACACCCTCTGGGTCCCCGCGCGGTGAGGAGTGGGCTGAGCGCACACAATCGTGGCCCCTCTCTGCCCCCTCCCCCTCCCAGGGCGCCCGGGGCACCGAGAGGCTGCAGCTGTACCTACTGTGCCAGTACTCGCTGGGCTGCGGGCTGACCTGCAGCCTGAGCTTCCTGCAGGAGGGCGCCCCGCACCGCACGCTGAACCTGCTGCTGGGCCTGGGGCTGGCCGCGCTGCTCCGCTCGGGCACCCGGCGCCTCCGCCGCCACGTCTGCCAGCTCTACGAGCTGCACAGTAGCCAGCGCTACTGTGGGGTCTGCCTGGGCCTGCTGGCTGGCGCTTGCAGCCTCCCCCGGCTGCTGGGCCGCGCCCTGGCCGTGACCTTTGCAGTGGGCAACCTGGCAGCCGTGACCCTCCTCAACCGGGACTTCCTGACCACCTCGGAGGCTGTGCGTTTCTGGATGCCGCTCACCATCTGCTACGCCCTGCTGGTCATCTACATGCAGGGTGAGGGTCGCGGGCGGCAGTTCATTCACTTGACACTCACATCCCACCGTCTGACCCAGGCCCAGTGCTGTGCTAGGCCCTGGGGAGGCCGACGACACTCAGACCCTGCCCCTGCCATCCCAGAGCACCCAGCCTGCTAGCAGGGGCCACACAGTGGGGCAACTCAGATAAGGGTGCAGCGTGCAGGGGGAGCCTGGAGACAGGGTACTTGAATTGGGCCTTGAAGGATAAGCAGGAGCCCCTGGGAGAGATGAGGGAGCAAAGGAAATCCTGGCAGAGGGAACCATAAATGCCAAAGCCCAGAAGTGAGACAAGGCATGAAAACGGAGTGCTGTCACGGAGGCAAGTGGAGCAGATGAGGCTGGCTGGGTTCACAGGGGCCTGATGGAGAGCTGTCATCATCCTGGCAAGGCAGTGTGATGAGAAGCCATTGCAGGGGTTTTTTTTAATTTTTTTTATTTTATTTTTTTATTTTTTACTTTTTTGCGGTACACGGGCCTCTCACTGTTGTGGCCTCTCCCGTTGCGGAGCACAGGCTCCGGACGCGCAGGCTCAGCGGCCATGGCTCACGGGCCCAGCCGCTCCGCGGCATGTGGGATCTTCCCGAACCGGGGCACAAACCGGTGTCCCCTGCATCGGCAGGCGGACTCTCAACCACTGCGCCACCAGGGAAGCCCCATAGCAGGGTTTTAAGCAGGGGAAAGTGACCTGATCAGATCTGGGCTCTAGGAGGAGCCACCTGGCTGCAGGGTAGGGATGGGATGGAAGAGTCAGGACAAGGAAGGGCAGTCAGGCAGGCAGAACAGCAGGTACAAAGGCCCTGTGGTGGGAAGGAATCTAGCATGCTTGGTGAAAACTTGGATCGCTGGGGCTAGAGAGCAAGGGGGACCAAGTCAGAGATGAGATGAGGTCGGAGAGGGGACTCCGGTCACATGGGGCAGGACCTCCCAAGGTGAGGAGTTTGGAGTTTACTCCAAATGCAGTGGGAAGTCCTGGGAGGATTGTAAGCAGGGGAATGATTTCACCTCGTTAGTGTGTTGGGAAGGCTACCGGCTGCTGAGTACACGCTGAGTTGTAGGGTCAAGATCAGAAGACGGGAGCCCAGTGAGGAGCCTGCTGTGAGAGATGAAGGGCGCTGGGACCCAGATCTACTTGGTAGAAAGAGCTCGTAGGGCTTCCTGATGGAACGGACGAGGGAGTGCAGGAAAGAGGAGTCAGGACACCTCCTGTCCTGACTGCAGGGGGAGACTTGGGGTGGGCAGTGAGGCCTGGGAGGAAGAAGCACCCCTGTAGTTGCTGGGAGTGGGTGTGGGGTGAGAAGGAAGGGAGCGGGGCTGCCTGGCGAGGGGAAGGCACGCACTGAGGAGAGCGGTGGGGGGAGCTGGGGGGTCCAGGCAAGCGACTCGGCGGGACCTCAGGGCAGGCAGACAGGCGGACGGTGACAGGGACCGTGTCTCTGCAGAGGAGCGGCAGCAGCATCCCGGCCTGCAGAGCCAGGTCCAGACGGTGCTGGTACGCATGTGCGGCCTCTTTCTGCTGCTGCTGACCGTGGGCCGCTGGCTGGACCTCGTGGGCATCTTCACCTCCCTGCTGGGCGAGTTCTGGTGCCTGCTGGACACCCGCACCCTGTTTGATCTTTGCCAGATACAGGTGGGCACCCCCTCCCTGAACGTGCCCCAGACACTGAAGCCTCACTCCAGACAGCCCTGGGAGCCTTGATAGGTTTTCAGAAGAGCCGGGTGACCTCCGTTGGGGTGGGGGTCGGAGGCGGCTGAAATCCCCTCTCCTACCTGGGGTTAACTTTTGACCCCTCGGTAGCCAGGGTCACTAGGAACGGGGCGGGCGCCCCCCACCCTATCCAGTGCCCCAGAAGACCCCGAACGGGAGGAAGGTCCTGAAAATCGGGAGGCTGAGGGCCCCCTGCGGGATGGGGGAACTGAGGGGCACCCTCCATCCCTTCCTCCCTGCCTGCCCTCAGGATTTCCCATCCCAGAGGCCTTACGCGTCAGCTCCAAGCCAGCCCCAGCCCTCGGCACCTGCCCAGCCGCAGGGGACGGCCCCCTCCTGACTTACTTCAGCGAGGACCTGGAGTCTCTCAGAGCCGCCCGGGCTCACCTGGAGGCCTTGACCCCAGGATACTGCCTGGCGGCAGGACGGCAGGGCTGCCCCCCACCTGGAGCACTGGGGGCCCCCGGGAGGGAGGAGAGGATTTGGGGCTGGGCCCCTCAGAGGGTGGGGATGCATGGAGGCTGCTGGGTTAACCCTCTTTTTCTCAGGGTGGGCAATGGGTACAGCCCCTCAGCCCTGCCTTCCCGGAGCGTTGGGGGGTGGGGAGAGATTGTATCCTCAGAATGGCTTCCTCCTTTACCAACCTCCCTTGCCCTGTCCACAGACAGTAAAGGTGATTCTCTCAGATTTGTCTCAGAATCATGAACACACAGAGAGGTGAAGAGGCTTTCCTAAGGCCACAGAGCTCTCTGACTGAGGCAGGCTCCTGGGATATGGGCCAGCTGGGTCCCTGGGGTTCAGGAATTTACTATTGTTGTGGCTGAGGACATGACAGGGATGCAGTGGCGTGGATGGGCACGTTGTCTGGGACTCACCTGCTTCTTGGGTGGTTGATGACCACATCCTGTCCCATCCTAGGCTAAGAAACAACTGGAGGGAGTATGATGCCTAGGCCTCTATTGGTGCTCTTGGTCCCCAGCCTCTGACCCTGACACGAGGATCCTTCCCGTCTCAGCCCTGTTCAGCCTCGTATCCCCTGCAGGGCCCAGCTCATGAAGGCCACAGAGTATATGGAAAAAGGTTGGGTACCAGCTCCCCTGCTTACCTGCTGTGTGGCCTTGGGTAGGCCACTGCCCCTCTCTGAGCCTGTCAGAAGAACAACTACCATGTGTTGGGCACTGCGCTGAGCATTTTTATTATCTCATTTCATTTTAACATCAGCCCCAAGAGGCAGGTACTCTTATCCCTTTTTAGATTCAGAAACCGAGGCTCAGAGAGACTAAGTAACTTGCTCAAGGACACACAGCTAGTTAGTAGCAAGACAGGATTTGAATCAGGTAGCCTGACCCGCAGAGTTCAAGTGCTGTGCATGTTCCCTGCTCCCCACTTCTTGTTGAAGAATTGGGGCCAGGGAAACTAACAGAGGTGGGCGTAAAAAATATGGCAGGTCCATTCCTGGTAGGTTCTGGAATGTTGTTCCCACCACCTTCTGTCCAGGTTAGCCTGAGGCTCTACCCACACCCATGTTCTCCTGGCCCAGGCACCCAGCCCACGAGGTAGTTTGTGTCCATGGGGATTGAGGGCCCCAACTCGGAGGCCCTTTCCCAGGAGGGACCCCATAGAGCAAAGGAGACTTCCAAAGGGGTTGTGAGGGTCAGGACTTCCAAAGGGGTTGTGAGGGTCAGGTTGTCTGGGAGAGGCAGGGGAGGCACCAGGGAGGAGGTGGGACCTGGAGAAGGTTCTTAGAGGATTCCAGGCTCTAATGGGTCCCACATCTCAGCAAAGCCCACAGTGGTCACCCGAAGTCTACTGCTTTGGAGCATACAGAGTCTGGCCTAAGATTCCACTCCCCACCCTGGGTGCACCTGAGATACAGGGACAGGCTGGCCCCAAGGCCGGACGGGGCGGTTTCAGCTCATTCCTCCAGGAATGGCCACCAACAGACAGTTCGAGCCCAACTTCTGATCCCCTGCTCTCCATCCCACCCCCAGGAGGGGCCTTTCAGCCCCAGAGTAACTGAGGTGGGGGAAGTGCTTGTGGATGCCCCTCCCCCAATACAGAACCCAGCCCCCCTCTGCCTGGGAGTGTGCTTGGTTCCCTCTGGGCAGGAAACTTGCCCCAGTCTAGGAGGAAATGGCTCAGTTAGGTGAGCACAAGGCCAGCCCCTTGCCAGAGCCAGACTGGACACCGGGTTCCAACTCGGGCCTGATGTTTTTGCTGGAAGGTTCCCTGGCCTCCCAGCCCCCCACACAGCCCGGGACCCGGTGGGGACAGGGCTGGGAGGAGATTGGACTTGGCAGTCCTTTCCTTTTTATGGGCACAGGGACTGTTTTCCAAACAAAAATTGGGCCACGTGGGCTGGAATAGTATTCTTTTCTTATCTATTAAATTATTTTTGTGAAAACTCTGACAAGGGTATAAAAATTAGATCACTCTAGTGAGCCCTACCAAACAAAGAGAACTAGGCCTGAAGTCCAGAGGGCAGAGGAGATCGAAAAGGCACGGTCTGCAGCAGGGCCATGAAGCTGGACTTGTTCTGCCATGGACCATGAGATCCCCAATCCTGGGCCCGAAACCACATCCTTCTGAAGAGGTGGGAAACCCGAGCCCCAGTCCCTGCTGAGAGGGAACGGTACCTCTGGAGCACCTGGGGTTGGGGTGAGCCTTCCTGCTCCCTCCTGAGCCCCCGCACCTGTGGGTTTTCTGAGCTATGGCATTGTCCCTCTTGATGTCCTGCATTCCTTCCCCTATTCCTGAACATCTGCATGGGGCGAGGCTCTGGGGCAAACCCTGAGGATAAGCAAGATGCCCAAGTAGCAACTGGTGCTGGAAAAAAAAAAAAAAAGTTGGGCCTGGGGACAGAGTGACGGGGTGAAGGAGGGTGTATTTGTCATCTACAGCTATGTAGCAAATGACCCCAAAACAGCAGCGTAAAGCAACAGACACTTATCATCTCGCTTTTTCTGGGGGTTGGGAATCCAGGTGCAGCTTGGCTGGGTCTTCTGGCTCAGAGTCTCACAGGCCACAGTCAAGGTGTCACCTAAGGCTGTGGTGTCATCCTAAGGCTCGACTGGAGCAGGATCCACTTCCAGTCTCACTCACGTTGCTGTCGGCAGGATTCAGTCTATCACGGGCTAGTGGACCGAGGGGCTCAGTTCCTCTCTGGCTATTGGCCAGGGTCTCCCTCAGTTCCTTGCCACGTGGGCCTCTCCATGGGGCAGCCCACGACATGGCAGCCAGCTTCCCTCTGTGATGCAAGTCAGGGAGACAGGCAGAAGATGAGCAGGACAGAAGTCACCATCTTTGTAACCCCATGTTAAAAGCGACATCCCATTCTTCTGCTCTATTCTGTTGGTTAGAAGCAAGTCACTGGGTCTAGCCCACCCTTTAGAGAAAGGGATTACACAAGGGCATGGCAGAGGGTGGGGGTTCTCAGGGGGCCGTTTTAGAAGCTGCCTTCCACAGAAGGCTTCTTTGAGGAGACCTGAATGGACTGCAGGAGCAGGCCAAGCGGAAAGCTGAGGGAAGAACACCCCAGGCTGAGAGAACGGCACGGGTAAAGGCCCTGAGGTGGGAACAAGCTGGGAGAATCCAGGAACAGCAGGAAATTTAGCATGGCTGGAGCCTCACAGAGAGGATGGAGTGGCGGGAATGAGGTCACAGAGGTGGGCAGGGACCAGATTGCTCAGGGCCACAGCCAGCATTAGGAATTTATTCCCCTGTGATGGGCAGCTAGTGGAGGGTTTGCACATGGAGGTGACATAATCTGACTTTTACGTTTTTATTTTATTATTATTTTTTTTTTTTGCGGTTCGCAGGCCTCTCACTGTTGTGGCCTCTCCTGTTGCGGAGCACAGGCTCCGGACGCACAGGCTCAGCGGCCATGGCTCACGGGCCCGGCCGCTCCGCGGCATGTGGGATCTTCCTGGACCGGGGCACGAACCCGAGTCCCCTGCATCGGCAGGCGGACTCTCAACCACTGCGCCACCAGGGAAGCCCTGACTTTTACGTTTTTAAAGGATTCCTCTCCTTGCTGTTTTTAGAATAGACAGTGTAGGAACAGTAAACCAGTTTGAAGGCATTTAAAACAACCCAGATGAGAGCACGGGGGCTTGGACCAGGGTGGTGGCCGTGGGGGTGGCCAGGATGGTTGGATTCTGAACATGTTTTGAGAGATTGATAAGATTTCCTGGTCAATTAGATGTGGGCTTGAGAGGAAGAGAGGAATCCTGGGAACTCTTTGATTTGGGACCTGAGCAACTGGGTGAATGAGATGAGGGCCTCCAGGGTCAGAGCAGGGTTACCTCAAGCAGGTGTGGTCAGCATCAGTGGAGGGTCCAGGTGTTGTGAAGGGTGGGATGTGGTCTGGGGTTCAGAGAGACCTCGCTGACAAAGAGCTGCAGAAACCAATCCTGAAGGTTGAGGGGGAGTTCCCAGGACATGGGGTGGTGGTGAAGCCCAGGCAGGTCTCAAGGCTCCTGAGTGGCCTGAGGGATGGAGGAGGGGTCGGGTCAGTGTGGCTGGAGCCCAGGAGGCAACGGGCACAGTGGTGGGAGATGCTGTCACGGAAGTGGGCTGGGGCCAGATCGCCAGGACAGGGAAGGGGTTTTGCGTTTTCCCTAAGAGCAGCGGGAGCCGCAGAAGGGGTGTCGGGGCGTGTGATGATCACGTGCTGCTTTAGCGAGATGGCCTGGCCGGCTTGGAGAGTGGATTGCAAGGAGTAAGAGCAGGGCGAGTCCAATTTTAAGGGTCTCCTTTAGGGACTTCCCTGGCGGTCCAATGGTTAGGACTCCACACTTCCAAGGCAGGGGGCGCAGGTTTGATCACTGGTCAGGGAACTAAGATCCCACATGCCGCATGGTGCGGCCGAAAAAAAAAAAGAAAGGGTCCCTTTTAGAAAAAAGCATACAAAATTCATATGAAAGTGAATATTGATTGAGAATGGGAAAGAAAAGCAGGACGAGCTGCTGGAACCCTGGAGATCTGGGTCCTTCTTCTGACATCTCTGTGGGCAGTTTGCCAGGAACACTTAGAGAGAAATGTTTCCTGAGTGTAACCTGGCTGCCCCTCCCTCCTACAACACTTCATTACTTCCAGAGACCCCCAGTCCTCACAGGGGCCGTGCAAGTGAGAGGCCTGGGCATAAGTTTCATTAACTTCACAGTAAGCCCACCTCTGCGGAAGAGAGAAGCGGGGAGGCCGGCGAGGGGCCCTGGCAGGGTCTAGGCCACATTACACTTCAGCAAGGAGGCGTCTCAGGGATGGGGGTCCTCACTGCCAGAGAGCAGTGAGGTGTTGGATAGATGCTGGTGGAGGCTCGCAGTGAAGCGGGAGCTCAAGGAGGGGCCTGGGGTCAGTGGGGGAACGGGGCTCTGCCCCCGGCAAGCAGCCGAGGGCTTGGGGCAGGCTCAGGGACCCTCCCAAGTGAGTGATGCCAGGACTTCCTTTCCTCTGTCCATAGAAGGGGCTCTGACCTTCAAGGCCTGGGTCAAGGACGGGCCTTTCCAGCCCACTGAGACTCACGCCCCGCCATGGCCACCCCACACGTCCCGCCCCTCATTGTGAAGGCTGTGCGGGTGTGCTTAGTGGAGGGGGGGCTGTGGGAACCGGGGGGTCCAGCCAGAGCCAGCTCAGGACACTGGACCGGGAGGGGATTAAGAGCCAGACGTTGTTGTCACGGCCAGGTCTAGAGGCTGGGCCCTGCCTGGCCCAAGTGGACACAGGCTTGGGGGCCTGAGAGTGGGGAACTCCATGTGGCTATAACTGTGGCTTGGTTACTCCCTACTTGGTTTTTGAACATTTCCCTACACGCTTGGCCTGTTTAGTAAAAGGGGGCTTGGAGCTAGACTACATGGGCTTGAAAGAAGCTTCCTAACGGAGATGACCCTGAGCAAGTTACTCTCTCTGTGCCTCAGTTTCCCCACTTGTTGAGAGGACTGAACAGGATGATGGACGTAGGCCACTTAGACCGGAGCCTGACTGTGGCCTCTAGGGCCCTCCGCATCGCCCCCTCCCCACAAGGGACTGCAACTCAGTCTCGGCCAAGCCCTTCTGGTGTGAAGGGTCAGTGAACACGCTGAGTAAGAGGGACTGGGAAGGAGGCACCACCGGCTCAGGCTGCAGAAGCAGGAACGGATCTCAGCGAAGCAAGAGAATGAAGAGGTCTCCCGCCTCCCCGTTTTGTCCACCAGACTGCTCCCCGGGTAGAGGAAGAAGAAGCATGTTTGCATTTTATGTGCAAAGAGCTGCGTGAGGAATTGTAAGCCTGAGCTCCGTATTTTTCTTGCATTATTTTCCCCCAGCCTTCAGGACGACCTTGTAAGGAGTTGATTGTTCTTTTCTCTATCTTCCCAGAGAACACTCAAGGTTCAGAGAAATTAAGTGACTTGCCCAAGGTCACAGAGCTAATAAGTGGGGGAGCCAACATCCAAATTCAAGTGGGTCTGACTCCAAAACCCAGGCTTCTTAACGGCTCACTACCCTTTACTACTTCTCATATGATTTGCATATGCAGCTCCTTAAGACCCCCTACTCTTACTCCTGCATTTCATCAGAATTACTGAGACCCTACTATGTGCCAAGCACTGTGCTGGGTGCTGGAGACATGGAGAATAATAAGACACAGCCCTGCTCCCCGTTTGGTGGGTAAAGCATATTGGTTCAACCCAGCAGCCTTGAAATGAATCCATAGGATTGACATGAGTCCTGACACCTGGAGTAATCAGAGCAGGCTTCTCAAAAGTGGTGACAGTGGTGCAGAGTTTGGAGGAAGAGATGATCCAGACCCATGGAGTCTCACCAATATTCCTCATGACTTTGCTTTAAGCCACAGAAATAGTTTTAACTGGTTGAAGAAAAATGAAGAAAAAAGAGAATGCATTGGCTCCAGAGATCCAGAGGTAGGACTTCAAGCATGGCTGGATCCAGCAGCCTAAGTGATGTAATCAGTTATCTCCTTTTTTTAAAAAGTAAATTTATTTATTTTATTTATTTATTTTTGGCTGCATTGGGTCTTCATTGCTGTACGCAGGCTTTCTCTAGTTGCGGCGAGCGGAGGCTACTCTTCGTTGCGGTGTGTGGACTTCTCATTGCAGTGGCTTCTCTCATTGCAGAGCACGGGCCCTAGGCATGCGGGCTTCAGTAATTGTGGCACGCGGGCTCAGTAGTTGTGGCTTGCAGGCTCTACGGCGCAGGCTCAGCTGTTGTGGCGCACAGGCTTAGTTGCTCCGCAGCATGTGGGATCTTCCCGAACCAGGGCTTGAATCCGTGTCCTCTGTATTGGCAGGCGGATTCTTAACCACTGCACCACCAGGGAAGCCCATTATAGATTTGGGTCTCCTTCTCTATCATCTTTGCCCTGCTGTCGTCTGTCTTGGTCCAAGTGTTGGCATAAATGGTGCCAAGCTTGCATCCTGTCACCCTGGAAAAGTACTGCCTCTTTCTACATAGTTCCAGCCAGGCACTGAGAGTGGGAGTGAGCTTTCCCAAAGAGAAATTGGGTGCTGTTACCAGAATCCAAGAAAGTGACGGTAACTGACAGGAACCACGATGTCCCTTCAATTCTCCAGCAGAACCAAGTCTTCCTTCCCTCCAGCACTTTTGTCCATCTTACTATAATATCCCAAAACCTCTGTCCTCTATATGATGGGAAGAGGAAAGCAACTCACCTGAACACCTACTAAGCACCAGGAAAATTCATCCACATTCATTCCAACAAATCCTCACAAAGCCACAGGGAGGTTCTGCTATCCCAGGCTCACGAGAGGAAACTGAGGCTCAGAGAGAAGTGACTTGCCCAAGGTAACAGGCTGGCATGTGACAGAGCTGCAGTCACTCACAGGTACTGCTGTTACTCATATCTGTGCTTGCCCCCCTCCCCCTGCAACCTGCCCCTGCTACAGTTTGTGGGAGCCCCCACTTCCCTGCACTGCTGCACCCCTGCCCAGCACCTAGCACAGTAGGTGCTCAGGAAACAAGTGCTGAACTGACCTGACTTCAAGCAGGCAGAGGGGACGATGGAGGGAGGGAGAGGAGCAGAACCGGGACAGCGAGGCCCAGGGGGGTTTCTGAGGCTGTTTGCCAAGCAGTAGACCCCAACCCGGGTGTATGATTTCAGCTTCACACGTGGGCACCCCTAGGCTAGGACTGACACTTCTGCTCTGACCTGGCCCAGGTGGAGCCTGTCCAGGGGAAAGGCAATTGAACCAATGGATGCTTCCCCACCTTGGGGTCACTGGCTCCCTGGGGGCTGCAGCTCAGGGAGCCTCAGAGGAAAAATCACAGAGGGGAGGACACCTCCATGCCACTCTCCCCAGGCTTGTCACTTTTCTTGGATCTAGCTGCAGAGCAAAGGGACCCTGTGAGCAGAGAGCTCTAGAAACCAGGTGAGAGTGATGTGGGAAGAGCCAGCGCCACCACTGGTGGGGCACCAACTCTGGACCAGGCCCCAGTGCACCCTTTCCCTGCCTCTGTCCCCAGCAGCTCTGCAAAGGGGAGCATTCATGTCTTCATTCGAGGGCAATCAGTCCAGCTGCCCCATGTTACAGGTGAGGAAATAGAGCCTCTGAGAGGGAAGGAACTTGTCCAAGGTCACAGCCAGCACCAGGGCGTTAGGAGTTAAGCCTAAGTCTGACCTCAAAGCCCATGTTTTCCCTACTGCCTTCCTCTCCCTGGAATGCCCTCCCCTATTCCTCTTGTGGCTGGTTCCTCTTCATATCCTCCCAGAGAGGCCTGCCCTAGCCCCACCCACACCCTTATTCTGTCTCAGCCCCTTGCTCGTTCCTTTATAGCACACATCACCGCCGGTAATTATGTTCATTTTTGCTGGGAGTT